GTAGGTGGCCCTGGGCGCGTCGTTAACTTAGTGGCCTCTGTTCCATCTGCTCAACCTGTTGTAGTCTCAGCTCCTGCACCTGTTGTTATCCCAGCCCCTCCACCAGTCGTGGTTACCGCCCCTCCACCTGTCGTGATCACTCACGCCCCGCCTCTTTTAGTTACTATTCCTCCTCCGGAAGTGGTGACTCCTGAAGTCTTACCCCTTGAACCTTTGAAGGCTGCGAAAGTTGTTCCACCAAAGGTAGAGCTGCCTGCAATTCCAGTCATAACTACAGCATTAGGTATATCTGAAGTAATGTTTTCCCAGAATAGTTTTACCATATTTCAATGTGTATTATTTTTGAGTGCTCTTAGACTTTGACTGTTCCAACAAAGCCGATGGTCCTTACAGTTTGGGTTGCTCTCACAAGTTCGTTATGTGTTCAAATGGAAAAGCAATATTCCTTTCTTGCGCTGCTGGTTTGGTGTTTGATCAGCTTTCTGCCAAATGCTTAGAAAAGGTCGTTAAATATTTATTGAACACTCAATTTAAAACTAAACTGTTGTAAAAGTAGTGACTAAGCTAATCTTGTTTAGAGAATACTTCGGGTGATTATTTTCATGAACATTTAATTTTTAGTGGAGTTTTATAATAAGGTTTGCAGGCTTTCGTTGCTGACTGTGGTGGTGTCGCAACTCCAGTGCCTGTCGTTGTTAATGCAGCTCGAGTTTCTCATCCACTAGTAGCACCTCCTGTTAAGATACCCATCAATGTGGCAGCAGCTGTTGAACCAATTCTGTCATTGTCGGGTAAGACAATTCTTCACTGAACGGGTTTTCTGAAAAATAATTGTGAATGCTTCCACTATTAATGAGGTTAGTGGATACTGTCGCTCTTCTAGGAAGTTCTTTTTTCAGCGTGCGATGAAAAGACGGATGGTATTTATAGCTTAGGTTGTTCCGGTGCATTCTATTCTTGCATCGGTGGAGTTTCTACAGTAATGAATTGCCCGAGCCAGCTGGTTTTCGATGATCTTTCTGGACAGTGTTCGGCTAAAGTGAGTTTAAATTTGTTTTCTGTGACTCTAAGGACTACCAATCCAGATTAAGAAATATCTCTTTTGGTTTTTTCCAGGCGTATACTGCTAGTTGCGGTGGGACAGCCACTCCAGCTCCTGCCGCCGTAAAGCGTTAGTTTATTACCGAGTACAGTATATTTATTCCGTAACTATTTAAAGATTTTTTTAAACTTTGGGACCTGGCTAAATGGTCGTAAGGTGCTTTTCATCTAAGTATCTTAATTTACGTCTCTGTTAAAAATCCTTCGCTATCTTTCAGCTGCGTCATGCGTAGGGTACTTCGGTGTTTTGTCGACAAGTTGTCGAACTTTCACAGTATGCCTCGGGGCTGAGGTCAAGGAGTTCGTCTGTCCAAAAAGTTATTTCTTCGACCTGGAGTTGCATAAGTGTGTCGTGCAGGTACGAAGAGCTACTCTTGCTTTCAATTTTTCAAATAATACATTTGGACATTGTGCCGATCTCCATCAAATTGTTTCAGCTTTATCCGGGTCAGTGTCCTTGACTGAGCGAGAATGGTACTTCCCGTGAAGTGAAACTTCGGGATCTGCAGTGCCTTCCTTGTTGTGGGCATTGTCGTTAATAATTTTGTAACACTTCAATAAATAATTGATCTGTGTTTGTGAAGTGTCGTTGTACAGTGTAGTGCAATGCGGTGCTGAAACGATGGTAAACATTTTACTGCACTTGGGTCCTCTTTGGCAATTGGATTTGTAAGTTCTAGAGCTCGATTTGGTGTGTGATCAGGATTGCGTTTTCAAAGCATTTTTGGTGACGGGGAGGTCCTTTGTTGTTGAGTTTACTTTTGTGGTCAGGGAAGGGATGGTGACTTCGTTGTGTTTTGGCGTGGATGGGTGAGCGTCGTGTCTTCGCATGATCGGTGCAAGCAAATAGTGTGGTGATTAATACATTGGAGGTGTCTAATGTTTGCATTGTTGTGGCGTCGTATCCCCAGTGTTGAAGTGGTTCTTTATTTAGGTTGGAAAGTTTCATTTTTTTATTCAGTGGGTATATTGGGGGAACAATTTGCTAAATGGGCTTTCTGATTATTCGTGTCGATGGTTTAGGATGTGGAGAGTTTTTGGCAGAGCTTCAGTGTGCGCCGACCTTCTAATTATGCTGATGTATTCGGTTAATGAGTGCTACAGTTGTTCGCCTGGTCCAGGAGGAATTTGCTATTCTGGTATAATTGAAGTTGGCTGTGCAGTATGTGGTTCTCAAATTTTTGTCTAAGTAGATGTGCCAGGATTTGTGAGGCTGACAGGGTTGAGCAGCCAGAATTTTTTGGAAATTACGAGCTGAAGGCTTAGAGTACTTAATCACATTTTCACGTGGCACATTTGATATGTCAATTTTTTGATTCGTAAGCCTTCTGTGCCTTTTGATTAAGTGGGTTCCAGGAAAGTTAAGTCTTGTAAAGTGTGATCAGTCTTCTAGCTTCTTCTTGCGTTACATTTTAATGATTGAAAACTATGGAAAAGGTTAGAAACTTGCTGCAACTGTACCCTAGGGGTGCGGTGTCTAAGCAAAAAGCGAGTCAGGATGTATTATTGTATAAAAGTCAGCATCAGTTGTAAGTATTGACTTTTCATAAACAAAAGTGGGGACACATCTGTTTGTATAAGACAAATTTGTTTTTACCTACTAGCTTTCTGGTGTGTCAAATTTTGGAAAAGTTAAGCTAAGCGTAATTTTACACTTTTTGAGGCAAAGTATGCGTAATTCAATTAAGATGGCAAATGTTGTCAGAATTATTCATTTTGAAATTTGGGTACAGCTCATCTCTGTTTCCTGGGGCTGTACTAAACAAACAGATTCGGTATTGTTGGTATTAACGGTGTAATTTTTAATGCCTTTAAAATTTTTCATCTAACAATAATTTTATTTTTTATCTAAGCTTTAAAAACCTTTTATTGTAACACTTTTAAGACTGTTATTAGCATTCTTCCTTTATTTGCTTATTCAAAACGGCATAAAATAGCCGCAGAAAAAGTTGAAACTGGAGTTTCATTTTTACTGTGTTGATCATTATAATTCAATGTTGGCCAATAAAAGTGCAATTTAACGGCTTGACTTCTACTAGAAAGACGTGACTCACTGCTACGTTATAGACTACTACTTGATAATTTTAAACATTTTTTATTTCACTGATTTTCAAAAGATTTTTGAAATTGTCTTTCAATGGTAGTTGTTGGAAGAACGTATTTTCTTGCCATTGCTCTCTTTTATAACTTAAATTTTTTTTTAGCAGGAGAAGCAAGAAGTTTTTCAAACGCTTTAAGATAAGTTCAGGGAAAAAAAACAAAAAAGAAAAACAAAACGAAGCAATCGATTTTGCTTTCGACTGAATTTGTTACAGCATTAAAAGTAAACGTTCTAAGCCGCCGAGGATTGGCGGCGCCAATGGTGTAGCGGTATCATTGTGCCCTCCCACGGTACAGACCCGGGTTCAACTCCCGGTTGGCGCAAATAAGCTTTGCAACCCTGCTGGTTATTCAAAAATCACTGGAACATTTGTTGGTCACAGTACCACGACAAATAAACTTCGCAGCATGACTTTGGCCACTTCTAAACTCCAGACTTTTAGGAGTGGTTTTTTATGATGAAGACCTTCCTATCTCTCAGGACACTTGTAATGAAGATTCTGCTAAAGACTGGTGTGTTGCGAGGTAAGAAATTTACTTAATTGTAGTCGGTAGATTAAATTATTATTATTCTTATTATTTTATACAGAAATTAAGGCACATGTACTCAAGCAGCATTTTGGTAGGTTCGTGTATTTTACAAAATAAAAATTCAGGTGGCTGATAGTCTGAAACAATACAAAGCTGAAACTTTTACAGCTCGCATTACGAAACTTTTATTATTTTTCAAATTTCGCATTCATTTTTGAGCAATAGGCAGACTGCAAAAAAGATTTTCAATCAAAAGTTAAGAAATAAATTTTTATGGTAAAATCTAAGAAGCTGAAAAAATTGTTGACAAATTGTAAACCAACAATTAGGTATTTTCACGACCTGACAGCTTCCGGCACTCTTGAGTATCGATGCGCCAATAGGTTCAACGATGCTGCATATCCAGTTCACTGTGGCGATGGACCGGGCGAGATCAATCACCGCGGATGCCACAAAGTTAGTGAAATTACCTCTAGACTAACGCATTCAAAAACGTTTTATTGTTTTATTTAATTGGTATTGAAAAAAACTTTGTTTTACTCAACATTATTGAAAAATCTTTTAGAAGCTTGATTTTAAAGGTCACGCTAGCTGGAACTGCCCGCATTAAAACTGTTTCTTCTGCACATAAATTGCCCTTTAGAAAAGTCAAACAATTTTTTTTTTCATTTTCCTCCCATCTCCCTTTATTTCGCTCTTTTTCCTCAACTGATCTTTTTCTTTCTTTTTTGAGTTTTGAGTTTTGAGTTTCCTTTTTAAGAACGGTGTCATTTTGATACTGCCTGTAAAATAGTTAGTACAGGTGATATGGTTTTTTATTTGGTGACCAGGTTTCATCCAAATCTTACGCATAACCAAAATCAATTGACCAGTATCAATTGATTCTATGTAACTGTAAAACTGTCTCTCATCATGCTGCATTTGGCCAGCCGAAGACTGGTATTCTGGTATTCCGTGATCTCAGCAATGCTTCAGAAGCTACTTTTAAAACATTAGAATTTTTGCGGTAATCTTCAACTGAAAATATAAGATGTTTTGAATAATTACAGGATGAAGTACTTTTGTAAATGTGTTTCTTTTCTTATCATCACTGAGGTATTTATATCGCACTCTTCTACAAACAGTTTTTCAAAATCTGTTACTGCTTCACGGATAACAATAGCTTTAGGTGACTACATCTCTTGGTCGACCCTGCTATTACTGTTGCTGTAAAGGAAACCTTTGCAACAATCCGTTGACATTTAAAACTCAGATTCAGAGATATTTCTTCGGAGGAGCAGTACAACCTAACTCATCAAAATGTTCCTTAAATAATAGCCTCCTGTTAATTGTTGTGTGTTTGAGTTTACCGCTCAACTTAATGAACCGCTGATCCAAACTGAAGCACTTGTTTCTTTTGTCTAAAAATAAACTATATGTTAATAAAAATTTTAAGAGTCATTCCTGTATTTAAAAAATAATTATTGTTACTGACGACAAGCTTTTTCAGTTCTTTATTGATGTTTTCCACACGTTAGTAGAAACTTACATTTTTTAGCTAAAAAAAAACATTACATGCAAAAAGGAATAATAATTTTATTCTTATACTCCTTTTGAGCAAACAACCTTAATTAATGACTATTGTAAAACCCAGAACGTTTTTGCCTCAACAGTTCCAGTAGTCATTAGAGCCCACTTTCCTTGTCGCTGGTTGTGCTTGAGAATTCCATTCAACTCGACTGATCATGAGGCAAAATTTGCCTCGATGCAATGGTTAAAAACTTTTGCCACTCACATCTTTTACTCATTTTTCATGTATTCTCCTGATTATTTCGCTGTCTTCAATTGATTGTACACTTGTAAAAGCTTAGGTGTAGGCAACTAAAAGTACTGAAAAATTACATCTGTTATTTGTAAACAATTTGAATTTTTCTGAATTTTATTTGGCTAATTATCGAAACTTTTACACAATTAAAATATAATCACTGAAATGGAAGGTCAGAGTTGGGGAGTTTATCAATACACTTCAACTCTAATTAAGGTTTTCAAGTAGACGTATTTGTCTACTAAACGTTGGTCTTCTTTTTCAAAGTCAACCTTTGATACAGCATAGTTTGGTTCTACAGTTACGTAGAAATCGCCAGTATCGGACCTTTGAGCTTTCCGTAATTGTAGAGAATACACGTCTTTTCTTTTATAGAGAGAAAGTCTTTGATTTGATGGTTTTGTTTGATCGAAAATACTGTCCACACCCAAGAAAACTTCATTGTTACATTCACCTCGGCGTTTTTCTTTCTCGTAGATAGCGTACCACGCAACCTAAAAACTAATAAAGTTCCCGGAAAACATTTCTCAACATATTAGAATGTAGATGTTTAAAAGTTAAAAGCGTAATTGTGTACAAAACAGTCGATCTGTGTCTTGAAACCTGATGAGAACTATCAACTCGCGGGATGTATGCAGTTAACCAGAGGGTATCGTTAACCCGTGCACGAATATACGGTTGCCCAACAGAAACAGAAGGCCATGCTTTGCAAACTGAAAAATTTAAGAAACTTCTGATACAACCAGCGTGATAAGAAATGGAAAATCTAAAGGAAGAATATTCCAACAAAACTGGCCTCTTGTAACAAGCTCATCACTGCCATCACCACACTGATTCATTCCATCACAAATGTATTTTCTTTTGATGCAGTTCCCGTTCCGGCACCTAAACTGCGTTCCGTTGCATCTAGGATGGGCTGAAATACAGGTGCAGAAAAGCAGAAGTAAAGAAAGAAGGAAGAGCGGAAGCTTATTAAAGTCCCATTCAAACGTAAGCAGGCCTTTAAAGCGAAAAATAGCATTGCTGATTACCAAATGGGACTTTTTTAAATACTGCTGAAGACATCAACATATCAACCTGCTGCAAAAATAACCCATAAGAATTTTAAGAGATACATTCATGAACAACCATTACCTGCAGAAGTCCGCGGCAAACCGGAGGACAAACCAAAAAGTGCCTAAAAAATATTTACTTTATACATCAAACTCACATGACCAGATTTAAAAACCCTATAATTCCCCAATACCCGAAAACCAACCTACCAACGATGACACTCTATATCTAACCAAATAAAAGCATGCTACTCAAATTCAAAAAGTCAAATAACAAAGTTTATAACAATGACTCTAGCGTAGGTGTTCAAAGTGATCAGACCAAATAAAACGTCGCCAACTACATAAAAACCTAAATCAGCTAGACTAACGTTACACTTCCAAACATTATGACTCGAGAAACATAATTCAGAAAGTTTTTTGGTGCACACCAAACAAAGTCAAAGCACAAAAACACCAATCTGACAAAGTAATCTACACCAGCTAACCAACTACAAGAAATGTCGAGAAAAAAATAAGCGTGAAAATCAAGAATAAGAAAAGTCATGAACCAAACCTTCACAATCTCATCCATTCCAACACCTAGAATCACAATGACAACAAACAATAACGCATGTGTGATACAAACCAAGACTGCGCATACAGAACCCAAGTTAAACCACCTGAACATACGCAAGCGAAACTAGCGCGGAAGAGCTCCCATGTCACAAAGAAAAATTTAGAAATAACTAAACTTAGAGAACCACAATGAAGAACTCTCTTAACGAAACCCACGAATGATCCGAAGGCGCGGTAGTATTGACACACCCTCACGCGATACACAGTGAGATAAAACTAAAGGCCGCCGGAAATCCTCCTACATTCCTCAACAAAAAAATTTACACGAAAACAAAACGATCAGGCAAAATCCGCTGAAAGAGAGAACTGGAACTTACACATACCCTAGCGGGGTACCGGCATCATTGTACCCTACAGACCCGGGTTCAACTCATCGCTGGTGCAAGTCCGTTTTTAATTGTGTAGAAAAAATTTTTGGGGAAACTAACTCATAAACAATCACGCGTGGGTTTTGAGGCCCCACATGTATTCAGGCGCTGGTGGTGTAGCGGTATCATTGTACAATCCCACGATACACACCCGGGTTCAACTCCCGGCTCGCGCAATACCTTTTTCCTTCTACAGAACAAAGTTTTGCGCAAGCTAAGTTTAAACAATCCCGAGTGGGTTTTGACGTCTGACATGTATTCAGGCGCTAGTGGTGTAGCGGTATCATTCTACCCTCCCACGGTACAGACCCCGGTTGAACTCATGGCTATCCCGAATCTCGCTTTCCTAATTTAGAACCATATTTTGCGGAAACCAAGCCATGAACAATGCAGAGTCGAAAGTGGGGTCTCACATGTATTCAGGCGCTAGTGGTGTAGCGGTATAATTCTACCATCATACAGTACAGACCCGGGTTCAACAATCGGCTGGCGCAAGTCCGATTTTAATTGTGTGGAACAAATTTTTGGGGAAACTGAGTCATAAACAATCGCGACTGGCTTTTGACGTCTGACATGTATACAGGCGCTAGTGGTGTAGCGGTATCATCGTACCCTCCCACGGTACAGACCCGATTTCAACTCCCGGCCAGCGCAAATCATTTTTTCCTTCTCTAGAACTAAATTTTGGGGAAACTAAGTGAGAAGCAATCGCAAATGGGTTTTGACGTCTGACATATATTGAGGCGCTAGTGG